GGCTGCCTTAAAATATGAGAAAACCCCTATCCAAAATTTTAGGCCTTCTTTGGCCTAAAAATATGTACTGAAAAATGTTTCATATTATAAAGTAAATACAGAGAAATTTATAGCTAACTCGAGGTCAATGTCAATCGCTGTCTTATTCAACGATCGAAGTGGGTTACCATGCGAGCCGCGCTATAACTGGTTGGGAATTATAGCGTCGCTAGAACGTTATCAGAGTTCCGTGCAAATTTATTTAGGTAAAATGCATTAATTTTAAGGCCCACGATAACCTAAAATATTAGGCTATACGGGACCTAAATAGTAGGGCAAATATACTAAAAATTTCAATTTTTAGGACGTAAATGACCTAAAAAGGAACTTTTAGTCCATTTAAAATGTTTTAGGCTATGCATGACCTAAAATGTTGTCCATCATTTTTCTGGGTGTATAGACTAGACCCCTGCATGAATTGATTCAATGAATTACATTCTTATTTGAAGTAGAAAGCACGATAATTTAATGGTTTAATCTGCCTCAATTTTGTACACTACGCGGTTAGCATTGTTTTCTCAAAAATGTTCAATTGTTTGTTCACAATAGAAAGCAAACAAATTTTTGACAAATTCAAAAAATTCATACATTTTATAAATTCGAAATGATTAAAAGTCATTCAATTTATTTAAAATAGAATTTAATTAAGTAAATTAGAAGTTTCCTCTCATACTACAGTACAAAAAAACAAGAGAGAACGCCATAGTCGGGTTGGTGTCCCGACTATGTAATAATCGTTACTCAGCTAAAGGGAGTGCGAGGGAGATAGATATATAGACAATTTTTATTGCGTATAACTTTTTAATAAATGGTCCGATTTGAAAAATGTCTTCTACATTTCGATAGGTATAAATATCAGGGACCGTAAATAATCATTATTTGAGATTTTTATTTTAAAAGGCCTACTGAGGTTTTTACAAGTTTTAATCAACAATTTAAGTGGTTTTTATGCACTTTATAGACATGAACAAATAACAGTTAATTTGCTTTCCAGATTTGTTGAAATGCATATACTTTGTGGACAAGAGTAAAAATAACGTTATTTTTGACGTTTAAAACAAAATATCACAGTAGTCTTTTTAAAATAAAAATCTCAAATAATGATTATTTACGGTCCCTGATAAATATACACCACAAAATTGCATTTATACTTTTCCAAAATCTTTAAAGATGTGGGCGCATTTTAAAATCGTTAGTGGGCGATTGTGGGCGTTGGAAGGGGCGTGGCGCTCGGCTCAATATGTGTGGAATATCTCAACCTTCTAGCTTTTGTAGTTTCCGAGATCTCAGCGTTCATACAGACGGACATGGCTAGATCGACTCGGCTAGTGACCCTGATCAAGAATATATATACTTTCGTGAGATTTTTTTCGGAGATTTTTTTCTCAAAAAACGGGGACAAATAAGAGAGAAACAACATGGTGAAAGAAATAGGCTTCCTTTTTCAAAATTTGTCCACAAAATCAGTATTCCCTCAAACTGAGAATACAAATACTTAATTTGAGAACGTCAGTCTTCTTGAAAAATTTTCTCTGTGTACATTTGCACGAATACAATATACCCTTTTACTATTTTAAATGGTTATTTAACTACACAGAGAAAAAAGCGGAACAATATGAAACTGATATTGTTTCATATCAATTTTTCCATAACAAAATGGTATGATTTCATATCAATATGGTACAAAATCATATGTTCGGAAATATCATTTTGATATGAAAACAGATGGACCGAAATTGATATGAAAAAATACCCGATGGATGATTATTTTTGGTATTTTTTTTTCTCTGTGTATGAACAATAATTGCCCTAACGTAAGTTCCTTAATGTCTTAATGGGTTAAGAACATTTTTGTGTAATTTAAACGGAAGTGAAGTGCTCTTTCTATAGGTGCAAAAAGTTTATATTAAAAGTTCAAAATGTGACTACAGTTAACATTAAAATCTGTCAAAATAATTATGCCGACTAGTGTAACTTAAAACTTATTTTCTGGAAGTCAAGTGCAATCCACGCCTTTATAAGACGAAGTCACTTTTGGAAAAGGTAATTGGACAACTACCTTTTTAATATTAGGGGAGAGGTCTGTAGGTTGAGACAGTCTGTAAGTTCCCTGCAGGAAAAATGCGAACTAGTCTGAAAAACAACTTGTTAAATAAATAATATAAAGCAACCGGAATTTGTCTGAATGCATTTGGACTACACAGGGTCTAAAAAATTTGTGCTAGTCGAAAAAATGATTAATAAAAAACTAGTAAAAAAGAAACTTGTCTCGGACTAGTACCTTTCTGACAAAAAAAAACCTTAAAAATATTTAACTGGTAGAACAAATACATGTTATGGTCTAGTTCAAAGGCAACTGGAATTTAACTAGTTGCAAATGAAACACATATGATCCAAAAATATAGCCTAGAGTGTAAAAGTCTTGGGAAATTTAGCACTAAGCAAATCAAAGACTCGAGGTCCTCGGTTCAATCCCCAGTCTCTGTAAATTTTTTTTTGTTTTTTGTTTGCTAGGTGATGCTTTAGTTTTATTTTAAACTTTGTTTAATCTGTCCGAGGCAATATATATGTGAAAAATCACTGTTTTTGTATTATGTCACACTAAAATTCATAAACCTTGTTAGGGCATTACAAAATGTGATGCGTGTGTGGCTCAATCAGTTAGTGTGTCTACAAATGCAAAGGTCCCGGGTTCAAGTCCTAGAGAGGGCGACTTGCCTCAAAAAAAGTAAGTTTGTTTTAATTCCATTTAATTATCATTTACTGTATTTGATTACATAATAATTATCAGAAATTCTCTAAGGACCGCGCCTATTGATTGGATACTAAATTAGGAGAGCGTCAAGTTAGGCATCGTCAAGTACTAGTGAAATCCAATCACTTGATGGTTTAGATATTAATTTTTAGTTTTTTCGTGAAAATATTTTTTTCAGTGTAGTTTTACAGCTGTAACCGTAAATTGGTTAACAGTCACTAGTGCAAAACTAGTAGCAAATGGACTAGTTGTTTCCGACGACAAGCATATGAAAAAGGGACCACTTCGTTACATGGAAATGGACATAACTTGAACTAGTTAACCTTCTTGACCCAACTAGTATATAAATGGTCCAAAACTGATTCCGTTTCCTGCAGGAAACTTTCTTTGAAACTTGGGGAAATATGATCGTTCAAAGAGCCTTTTAGTTTTAACGGCTATTTGATCTAAGTTAATTAAAAATGTACGGGAAATAAGTTAAAACGAACTAAAATTTATTAAATTAACATAAATAAATGGAAGTAGTTTTATTGACTTTTAAAAGTGTCCCAACTTACAAACCTTTTTTTTTAATGTCGTTTTCTGGTATTTACAAAAAAAAAATTTTTTTTTAATTCTCACTAAGGAAAAAAATATTTTTTGTTGTTTTTTAAAGCTAATAGACTAACCTTTCGATCAGTACCTAATGCGTGAAGTTTCATAAGTGAATATCGAAATGGCAGATCAAAAACAAAAGGTGTACCAACCTACAGACCTCGTCCCTAATCTTAAGATGTTTATCTAGAAGAAAAAAATTGCCTTTTTTTTACTTTTTTTCCCACTGATTTTTTTATATATAGCCGACTTAAAGTCGACACATTTTCCTAAAACTAAACAAATAATCTTTAGGGGTAAACAATTAGTGAGTTCTGGTATTTTGTACAAATAGCTTAGTTTCCATGACTATTTCTTTTCTGCAGTCCTTGCATGATGAATGTTCTTTCGTATACAGTTTTTTTTATCACAATATACATATGGGCACTTCCACCAAAAAGTCCACCAAGCCAAAAACCTTCAAACTTTAATAAAACATATTTCCACATGATTTTTCCCCGATAAATAGATTGATCCTGAGCTAAACTAAAAATTTGAAGTATAGTTTGATTATTTTTATGACAAACCCCATCAATGTACGCAAAAGTTAGTTTTTTCTATTTTTTTGTTATTTTTTGGACCTGTCTTCTGTTGTTAATTTATCCGATAGGAACGCTAATATGTGCCTTTTTCTGAACTGAATCCTTCATTGACATGTTAAACTATTAGGTTAAAAGCAAAACAGCCAGCCATTGAGGGTAGAGGTACAGAATTACACTTTACAAAACGCTAAGAAAACATTTATCCAGCGACATGTCTCGAGCGAATGTGTTTAAAACTGCAAAATAATTTTTGAGTAAAACCAAAACCATTTCACAGCGTCATGAATTGGACAACATTTTAAAAAAAATCGCATTAAAGTATTCCATCAGAGCTCGCTAAAATCTGGTGTTGAATCTTTCCCAAAATCCACTTATTTTTTTGTCCCGAGCGAAGGATGCAATTTTTTAACGATATTTTGAAAATTAAAAGTGGTACAAAATCTAGATTTTTACAAAAAATAGAGCTTGGGAAGAGTGTAAAAAAAAACCCATTATTAAAACTAAAATTCGTTTTTCCCCAATTTTTTTTTGGGAAACATTTTAAAGGTGTGCAAATGTCCCGAGCGAATGTTGATGCACTATGAGCAGTACAAGCAAGTGGCCTGAGGACACAAAAACGTTGGCTGTAAACAGGATTGGTTTATTTAACCACACATTTTTATCTGTGGAGTTTTATCTTGAAATTATTTATTTGAGCTCAAACTTTAAGATCTCGGTTCTGGTATAAACTTTAATTAAGTAATATTAGGAAGAAGCTCACCCCTAAACAAGATTGCTTCATGAACAAATCATTTGTTAATCTAATTAACAATCGGAATACAGTTTGAGAAATTGCAACTGAGGAGCCCGTGTCGAATTTACAGTCACAGCCGCTAAAAAGTCGGCCAGAACCGGCTGACATGTGGCTGACGTATTTCTCCCAAACACTTGTCCGAAACACCAGCAGCTGCAAAAAGCCGAACGCCGACGCCACGTTAGGGGTTGTTTTTCCTGCCGCAGTCGTTTCTCGTTGCCATTTGGCTCTTTGGCGTTGCTGCCTGCCTTCAAGTTTCTTTCAGTTTCAGTTTGAACGTCGAACGCCGAGAACGTCGAGATACAGCTCTTGCTGTCAGCCTGCTGTACTTAACCGGGCTGAAGCCATTGAAACGCGTGTGAACGGAAACCCAACGAAATATTCATAACTTAAGCGGTCGCCTTAAAAAGAAAAGTCCGAAAACAACGTGAGTGTAGGAGAATTAAAGCTGAAAAGGCAATCACTGTCTTGATTGCAGTAAAATTGCCATAATAACCACTTGTGAGAAAATGAGAAGGAAAAAAAGTGCAAAAGAAAATATAAGAGAAAATATTAGCTCCAAGCTAAAAAATGCGTATATTGAGTTTGCCGTAAAAAGTTCATAAAGGCAGTCGAAACCATTCCCACGTTAATTAAAATTATAAATTAAATTTGAATGTTTTTTAATTGATCGCAGTGAAATGAGCCCAAAAATCCTACTCTTCAATGTACCAGCAACAAGTAAATCGTCAACTAACAGTGATAGTAAATTATAAAAAAGTTGTCTGAGAATATTGAACAACATGTGCTTACTTTTTGAAATGAGCAAATGTTTAAAATAGAGAATCTTTTTATACCTATTAGTGTACACATCTAGGGGACATACGTATGTACAATGTACATATATAAATATATATGTATATCGAGCGTATGAGGCGATACACGAACATACGTATATAACTACATCAGAGCCGGCTGAATAGAGGTCGGGCTAAAGAAATTATATCATTGCCCGAATCCACTTTTAGAATTAGTTTGCAATGAATTTTTTTTACGTCATTTTTCGCCGATATATTCAACCATACATATGTACCTAAGATATATGAAAACATTTATGTTTGTGGGCGAGAAACGGAAATAAACCAGTTGAGCGCAATAATTTTAAAATGACTTATGGGAAGTTCCAATTTAACACGGTCAGCCAATTGATTGACGGAAACGCGTAGAAGAAGAAAATATGAAAAGTATTAGCTGATTTAAAGCGCAGAACCTTAATGTACATACATATGTAGGGGAGAGGTCTGTAGGTTGAGACGGTCTGTAAGTTGGGACACTCAATTTTCTCAAAACTTATCCACTAAAAAAATTGTTTTTATTTTTTTTTTGTAGTCCTTTTTAGTGACAACACTTTTGGGGAAAACATTATAAGCCAGGCTCTAGACAGATTAAAGCTGTGAGAGTCGTGTACCATTTTTCACCAAAAAAGTTTTTGTCTACTTTTTCAAAATTCCATTTAAAATTAATAACGTCCTTAAATTAACTTGGTAAGATATTTAAAACATTAGTATATTACTTGTTAACTAATTAAAAAAAAAAAAGAATCAGCTTAATGTGACAGTCAGAACAAAAGTTATTAATTTTTTCCCGAAACATCCCATTTTGTGTAAGTTGAGACACCCGTTTTTCATACAAAAAGGCCTTAGGCCAACAAAGGCCGCTTTCTGCCTAATACATTTCTTCGATATTAGGGGATTTGATTTTAATTGTTATTTGGTCTAAGTTCTTAAAAAATGGATGGAAAATAATTTACGACGAACTAAAATTGATTAAATTAACATAAATAAATAGTTCCTTATAGTTTGGAGTACTTTTTGTGTGAGTATTATTGACTTTAAAAAGTGTCTCAACTTACAGACCTCTTTTTCAAAATGTCGTTTTTTGGGACTTTTCAAAAAAATAATTTTTCAGTTTTCCCTAAGGAAAAAAAATATTTTTTTGTTTTTTATTAAGCTAATGACTCACCTTTCGATCAGTACCAAATGCGTAAAGTTTAATAAGTGAATGTCGAAATGGCAGATTAAAAACAAAAGGTATACCAACCTACAGACCTCTCCCCTATGTACTAAAATCCAGATATTCAATTACATTTAGAAAATTGGTTGATTTTAGCGAATTCTGGTGGAATATTTTTTTTCGATTTTTTTTTAGAATGTTGTCGAATTATGTCGTTTTTAAATGGTTTTGGTTTTAGTCAAAAATTGTTTGCTGTTTTTTTTTATGCTGTTTCAAACACATTCGCTCGGGACATGTTGCCCGGGACAATTTTGCAAATTGGATTTCTTTACCCGTAGCCTTAAATTGCTGGCTGTTTGCTTTTAGCTTTATAGTTTAACATGTTAATGAGGCATTCAGTTCAGAAAAATGTCACATTTAGGATAAATTAACAACAGAAGACAGGTCCAAAAAATAAAAACAAGAAAGGAAGCTAGCTTGGGCCAGCCGAAGCTTATATACCCTTGCAGATAAAATAAATACCGATATTTTAATGCTAACTCGATCGGTGCAGTTCTAGGGATTCCAAGGACTCTAGAAAGTTACAATGAATTTGATTATTCCTATGGAAGCCTTAGGATATAGTAGTCCGATCACCCTCGCTCCGACATATGTACTATCTGCAATAAAAAGAAGACTTTTGGGAAAGTTTCGTCGCGATAGCTTCAAAACCGAGAGACTAGCTCGCATAGAATCGGACAGTCGGACATGGCTAGATGGACTCAAGAATATATATACTTTATGCTTATACTTTACAAACTTCTGACTGAAATTATAATACTCTCTGCAGGGTATAAAAATAGCCAAAAACTAACTTTTGCGTATATTGATAGGATTTGTCATAAAAATAATCAAACTATACTCAAATTTTTTTAGTTTAGCTGAGGATCCAAGTAATTAGAAACTAATATTGCGGCAAAATCATGTCGAAATATGCTTTATTTAAGCGTAAAGGCTATTGGCTAGGTAGACTTGGCTCAATAGAATTCTACAGTCTTCGCTTGTGACAAATTCTTAGTGTTATTTCCCTCAAGGCATATTTGAAAACAGCAAACTTGATCTAATAAACGAATCATGGTGCGGTGGCCCAATGGGAAAGGTGTCTGCCTTTAATTTGAAAGGGATCCTGTCGTAAAATTAAATGGAAATTGATAGGAAGAAAACAAGGTACCCCTTACTCAGCTAAAGGGAGTACGAGGGAGAGGGAGATATAAAATTTTGATCGGGCATAATTTTTTAACGAATGGTCCGATTTGAAAATTTGCATATGCGAAGCTGTTATTCTATCGAACCGAAAACGCTTAACTCTGAGCAAAGAGTATACATTATACAGAGGGCGCATAACTCTGACTTTCTGTTCGCACTGTTGTCGGCAAGGGGAAAAGGGGAATGAGCTTGTTCTATTTTTAGGTTTCGTTTATTGAATACACAATGCATAAGTCTAAGTGGGCTTAATTTTCCGGTTAAGTACATCTCCCTGATTAAGAAATGGGCACTTAAAATTTTTTGTATGGTGTCAATTTTTTTTTAAGTGTATAAAACGTTTTTGTTCTTTAACTTGCCTATACACTGCATTGAGTTCCAGTCATTAGTTTAGGAGGTACACTTCGTCGAGGCTGAAAAATTGTGAAAAAATGCAAAAAAGCTGCCCATAACATCCAACTCGGTCTATGGTCGTGCTGGCTAAAGCGTTGATCAGCGATGTTGATGCGTGTTCGATCCCCGCAAAGTGCAGACGTTTTCTAATATTGTTTTTTTTTTGTCTCGAAATATATTTCTTTTATTTTATTATTTTAGTTAATTAAGCTTTAAACTTTAAAGTTTAAAGCTACAAAATAATTCATGAATATTACAAAGATTAATTTCTAAAATATATGTGATATAATTAATATTTTTTTAAGATCTATCTATTTACTAGTAGTGTTATTAGTAATTACACTGTGCAGCATTTTTAGTGCTTTTTAAATTTACCTCGATGGATGCTATATTTTTGGATTCGTTACGAATTCCCAAGTTGAACTGCGTTTTCTAAAAAGTTCTCCGACGCAAGGATTCTTAGCAAAAGGACCTCAAAGTTCGAAGAATGCTGAAATTGGACAACTTTCCAGAGCTCTCAGGGACAAACGGATGCATTGTTTGATTCGATGTTAAAGTTTTTTAAAGGATACACCCTTTATCTTTCAAACCCCATACTTAGAATAATTTTAGGATTTTTATTAAAGGAGAAACAAATTTTAGAAAACATAGTCAAAAACAAGAGAGAACGTTATAGTCGGGTGCCCCGACTATCAGATACCCGTTACTCAGGTAAAGGGAGTGCGAGGGAGATGGAGATAGAGATAGAAAACGTTGATCACGCATAACTTTTTAACGAATGGACCGATTTGAAAAATTTCTTCTACATTTCGATAGGTATTGATAAACACCATAAAACTGCATTTTTACTTTTCCGAAATATTGAAATTTTTAAAATCGTATATAAGGGATTGTGGGCGTTAGAGGGGGCGTGGCACTCTTTTGAAACAAACTTGCGCTGCGTAGGAACTCCTAGAATCTGCATGCAAAGTGTCAATCTTCTAGCTTTTATAGTTTCCGAGATCTCAGCGTTCATACGGACAGACGGACAGACAGACAGACGGACAGACGGACAGACGGACATGGCTAGATCGACTCGGCTAGTGATCCTGATCAAGAATATATATAGTTTATAGGGTCGGAAACGCTTCCTTCTGCCTGTTACATACTTTTGCACGAATCTAGTATACCCTTTTACTCTACGAGTAACGGGTATAAACATAAAAGCATACAGATGCGTTCAAAATAGTAGAAGTGTTGCCGCCCTCTAGTTTACATTACTTTATCAAGCATAAAAAAATTTTCTGTGAGTCTCAAAAACAAATCATTCCACTAAAGCTTCTACTCTTTCTTTCTATATAAATGTTTTAATCTTCGATTTTTTCTAGAACAACGAAAAATGTTTATGGCTTAAATACTATACAAGAGAAACAAATAAGTCTACAGTAAATAAATACACAAAAAAAATAACCTCGATATGGAATAAATAAATAATAAAAAATCCTTCGCAGCTCATTTTGAAATGTATGACTGACAAGGAACTTGAGTATAATTTATAAATTATATTGGTGACCCGAATCGTCACTCTGTAAACTTCATCTATACTTTAAATGTGCAGAATCAAGGAAGCATTCACCAACGTTAAAAATAATCTTTAATACAACTTTGGCCACATTGAGTGCGGCAAGCTGACAAACATGGCGCCGAAACGTACAGGAAAAGGCATTCCCATGTCAAAGCGAGTGATATTGACCGCTCCCATTTCCACATCGCTGGTCCTGCTGGTATTTTTGGCTCTTTTTGGTCACTCCAGTGCCCAAGTTGGTAAGTGTAATATTATCTACCACAATGTAACTGTAAAAAAACACCATTAATATACAAAAACAAATGCACATTTCAAAAACTGTCTTATAGGGTCTTCCCACAGAGCTCCATCCACCATCTACCATCCGTTGAACGGATGGTCCGTAAGGTTTTGCCGTTCCGAAAATTTCCCAGTTAGTCCGCCATCCAATTTTAACGGACTTTGACGGGCTCTTTTATGCGATAGTTAGGCGATGTTTTCTCGGTGCAACTCTGAATTCTTCCTCTTGACTGTGAAAATTGGAACGATGACTGCGAGAACAAATCAAATCGATGGCGGGAAAAAATTAAATAATGCTTCAGCTCATTGTTTTTTGGGTTTTTTTAAATTTTTTGTAGTTTGTTATGAGCGGAAAAGCGTTCGCAAGCAGGTTGTAATGTGTGGGCCAAAATGTAAGCTGTCGTGCGTTTGAAAACATAAATGTTTGCAGCAAAGCGTCAAAATATGTTCTGCACTTCGTAAATATAACTAATGTTAATTAAAAGTGTACTTTGTACTCCTATAAAGTTCCAAAGTTGCTATAATTTACCATAAACAGCATACATTTGGTTTTGTTTACAAATTTTTCATATTAATATTGGCTAGGCAGAGGCGTAGTAAGAGCGAAGTGTGGGGTACGGGAGGTTAGGCTCCCCCGCAGTCAGCAATATGTATGCATACTCATTGTAGGATATGTTATAAACGTTCAGATATGTTAATAAACTATATTTTTAATCTATTTATTGTATTATTCTCCAATAAAATTAGGAGAACGCAATTTTACGACAGTTTTTCCGAGTTAAAATCCCCCTTCGTTAATGTTGCGCTGAGCAACTGCTCTTCACTCAGCTGTTATTGGATGGTAGATGGTGGATGGAGTTCTGTGGGAACACGAGTTTCACATTCGTCAAAAATCCCAACCGTTTCAAACGGATGGACTCTATGGGAAGAGGCTATTAGTTGTATTACAACTTCGGCGATTTTTGACCACCCACTCCCCCTTGTAATGAAATCTTCATACAACAAAAATTGTTTTTGCACTAGAGTAATCATTTGGTTGACCCCCTTCCCCCCTAGGTGATTACGTAATAAAGGGTGTTTTTTTTAGATGTATAGAACTTTAACTTTAACTGTTCAAGATGGCGACCGATTTAACAGCTGTCAAGTGATTTATTCTCAGTTTGGTTTTGCAATTCATCATGAATAGACTCACGTCTGAACAACGCTTGCAAATAGTGCAATTTTATTTCAATTTATTGAAAGACACGTTTGATGACCGCCTAATTTCACGTTTTGGACCTGTAAATTGGCCTCCAAGATCTTGTGATTTAACACCGCTAGACTTCTTTCTGTGGGGCTATGTAAAGTCATTGGTCTATGCGGATAAGCCATAAACGCTTGACCATTTTGACCGTATTATTGCCGATATACGGCCGCAAGTGTTGGGAAAAGTTATCGAAAATTGGACGTCCAGATTGGACTACATCCGAGCCAGCCGTGACGGTCATATGACAGAAATCATACATCAAATGTAATGCCACAAGATTTTCTTTCGAATAAAATAAAAGTCCATGTCAATCGAATAATCCATTGTTGTTTTATTGCAACTTAAAGTTTTATACCTCTAAAAAAACACCCGTTATATGGATAACCCCTTATGACCAGCAAAATATTTACTAACCAATTTTATATTGCGGCGTGGCTAATGAGAAAATTTTAAATAGTTGATTTATTTAGTCGAATTATTTTTAATGTTTTGTCACAAAATTTAAAAACTACGAAATTGGAAAATTTTTGCTTTTAATTTTTATAAATTTTTTTTTAATTTTTAGTTAAAAACCTTGTAATCGGCTTTTTAATTTATTTTTGTATTCAAAAATGTTAAAACTTTTATATTATTTATCAAACGAAATACCTCTTTACAGTGTCGATCGCACCTTCAACACAGAAAAGTTCTGATATCAACTTTTTTGACGAATATTTATTTTAAGATCCCTTAAATAAATAGACTTTCTAATTTGTTTCACTCTGCACGCTTTCTTAAAACCGTACAGCTTCACAGTGATATTGTATTCTCACGTGCCGAATGAGAAAAATTTAGAAAGTTTAGATTCAGAAGACGTTGTATATTTAGCTATATATAGGTTTTTTTAAAAATGGCTTAAACAAATGCTAGTTAATATATAAAAATAAGAGACAACACTATAGTCGGGTTTGTGTCCCGACTATCTAATACCCGTCACTCGGCTAAAGGGAGTGTAAGAGAGATGGATATATAAAATTGTTTGATTGCGTATTACTTTTAAATGAATGGTTCGCTTAGAAAAATGTCTTCTACATTTCGATAGGTGTAAATATACACAACAAAATATATATATATATGTATATAAATTATATACATTTATACTTTTCGTGGCGCTCGGCTGAAATAAACTTGCGCTGCGTAGGAAGCCCAAGAATATGTGTGGAAAATCTCAACCTTCTAGCTTTTGTAGTTTCCGAGATCTCTGCGTTCATACGGACAGGTGTAGGTGCTAGACACCTTTTAAAATCGTTTATGACGATTGTGGACGTTAGAGAGGTCGCGGACCTCGGCTGAAACAAACTTTCGCAGCATAGGAAGCGCAAAAATATGTGTGGGTTATCCCAACTTTATAATTTTGTTTGTTTCCGAGAACTTAGCATTCATTCAGGCGGACAGACAGACGCTAGATTTGCTAATTGTGCGTGTTTGTTGTTGTGAAAATAATAATTTAATTGGTAGAATTAACAATTTTTGTGGTTGGGGACTTTTTGACAATTATATTGTTTAATTTTAGCACGTTTTTTTGTGTGCACCTGCGTAAAGGAGTGCCTAGTGTCTAGTGAGACATATACACACACACAATTTGTGTGGCTGTGGCTTGACAATGGGTTTGACAATTATAACAGTTGATTTTCCTAAGTTTTTTTTGTGTGCAGTCCATAAATAAACGCCTGATGCGTCAGCTGCAAAATTCGACCAAAAATACTGCCCGTTCCGTCTCCGTTCTCTCATTAGAGACGCATGATGGGGGTTGGTTCTGTTACGGGCAGGTGAGCAAGCGTAGACTGCTCACCAGTTATCCTACCTGATAACTGTCGTTCGACACCTGGTGCCCTTCCGCCTGCCCTTAGTCGTCGTAACAATTAGGCTCCTTTTGTTCCGCATTTGAGTATTGATTTTATTTTTTAATCTCCCTTAAATTACTATAATCTACACCCAGAAAACAAAATGGACTAAAAAGACGCCTAATTACACCAGTTTACAAAAAAAAAATTGATGAAATACGCACTTCGTGAAACTATGATTTTCGGTTAAGGAACATCTCCCTAAGTAAGAAAAGGGCACTTTTAATTGTTTGTATGGTACAGTTTTTTTTAAAGTGTAAAAAACGTTTTTGACGCTTTTTTAATTTTTAACTCGACATGTGATTAACCGATTTCGGCCATCGAAGACTCATTTCACAGGTAATAGAATGCCCTCTAACTTTCTTATACACAGCATTGAGATCCATTCATTAGTATAGAAGCTACAATTTGTCGGGGCACCCGACTATAGCATTCTCTCTTGTTTTTTCCTATTAATTTCCATTTGATTTTTCGACCGTTCCTATGGCAGCTATATGATCCGATTTTTTAAATATTTAATTCGAAATTCAGAAATATATAAAAAATAATATTCCCAAGAGTAGAAGGTAATATTTCAAAAAACTCCGACGAACTATAATTTTTTTACGTTTTTTTTCCGATCCTTTCTATGGGAGCTATAGGATAAAGTTGTCCGATCCGGTCGGTTCCGACATATATACTACCTGAAATAGAAAGAAGACTTTTGGGAAAGTTTCATCCCGGTACACACAAAAAAAAAACTTGGTAAAATCAACTGTAATAATTGTCAAACAGGCCCCAACCAGCAAAATTGTCAATTCTACTAAGTAAATAGTCATTTAACAACAACAAAATACACCCAATTAGCAAAGACACAAACCCAAAGCAAAAACAAAATACACGTAACTATTTTAATAGTTACGTAACTATCTTTGTTGGTCAATTTTACCAAGCAAATTTTTTTATGTGTAGCTCAAAAACTAAGATACTAGTTTTCGAATCGTCTAGTGATCCTAATCAAGAATATATATACTTTATGGGGTCGGAAACGTCTCCTCCACTGTGTTGCAAACTTCTGACTGAAATCATAATACCCTCTGCAAGGGTATAACAAAGCAGTCTTTCCTTGTTATATTTTGTTAGGTAACCGTTACCAGAAATAAATTCAAGACTGCGTACAAAATATAGTCCACATGGACAACATTTTAGGTAATACATGGCCTTGGCGCGTTTTTCTGGCCATGTTTCCTAAAATTTTGGGTAATTAGGCCCCTTTTTAGTCCATTCTCCAATCTATCCCAATTTATCTATAGTCCAATCTATCCCCGGTATTCTGCGCGAGAGTCCAATAGGCTAGCCTCTGGCCTACGGAACTATTTAAGAACACTGCGGCAAAACCAAAGGCTGCCTCTAGGGGCACAGGCGAATTCTATTTTTAGAATAGTTCATTGGTATTGATTTTATATATTCAAAACTTTTCCATCACTAGCTTTAAGCTAAGTCTAATAATATTTTTAAATAGTTACCTTAAAAAACGAATAATTTGTTCATTAATTTTAAAAACCATTATTTGTATTAAATTGTGAGATTTCAAATAATTCCCAAATTTTAGGTCTTATGGACCAATTTTAAGCTTACGATGGCCTATAAAAATCTTTGTAGATTTACCTTACCCTTAGTCTATTTAAATTTTTTAGGTCATACGTTACCTAAAAAATAGTCCCACATTTCTCTGGGTACACCCAGAAAAAAAATGACATAAAATTTCAAAAAATGGCCACGAATTTTGGTAAAATTGGCCTAAAACTGGAGCTAAGTTCTTGAATGGCCTAAAATTGGGGTAATTTTTCGT